ACAACAACAATGTGCTGAGGAAAACTTTTAAAAATAACATTCAAAATTTTGAGAGATAACTTTTTCTACAAGGATTCTTGCAAAAATGAAACGCTGCTTCATCACCAGTGAAAGAGCTCTTTTATTCAAAGATGAGAACTCAGAGCAAAGTGAATGCTCCCAAAGTAGCCGTGCCACTTCACTGACACGGCACCTAAGTGTCAGTAGACAGAAGGCTGGCCACTTGGCTGTCAAGCAAGAGAATCTTCATTTTCCTGGGAAACCTTGGTGACAACTCCTCCATTCCAACAGAATGCACAGTCTCCCATTCTTATGCATTATACACCTATTCTCTGTGCTTTAAATCCTTTGTGAAAAATTAAGAGCAAACATTCTTCTCAAATATACTCATTTACCAAAGTCCAAACTTTTCCCATCAACTGTACACCACAAGTAAGTCAACTGTTCTTCCAGGATTTCTGATGTATCAGCATGTAATACTTTCCCTTTTATATTGTATCTTTAGAAGGGACACAAAGAGAACAGCATTCAATTGCCTTAACATGTATACTGAAAAACATGTTTTCTAAATAAAACTGGCATGGTGTATAGGTATATCTTGGGAGCACAGTGACTCTGTATGATAAGCACTGAACTGCAAACAACAAGGTTATCAGTTCGAGCCCACCAGCCTCTCTGTGGGAGAAAGACGAGGCTTTCTGCTCTCACAAAGATTTATAGTCAGACTGACTGTAAGGCACTTAACAACAACAACACGGGTATATCTTTAGCACCTCAGGATAATAAAACTGCCATACTTAACAGACTCTACCTCAGTAAGGAGCCCTTGAGTGCCCACCCAGTGACAGGAACGCGAGCCTCTGTTCTGTTGAAGGCTGCAATAAGCCAAACTGTAAATGTTGACTATCTAATGGGTATAGGGTTAAAAAGATCTTTCTTTTTAGCACTGAAAATAGCAGAATTCACCATTTATAACCTACAAATGATTTACAAAATTATTTTCCTCAATTCTGCCATGAAAAACAACCTTCAGTCCAAGTCTAAGAGTTAAGATGAATCATTCTCAAGCTAACAGCAGAAAATCAATGGCAAATCACTAGGGCATTTGCTGCCCTACATACATAGGAAATACTTCACTCTAACTCTACTAACTAGAAAATGAATTCTTTCTACAACAGAATGCTGTCATTAGTAGGACATGCACAAAGCTCTCCAAAAAGTAAAACAAAGAATGCATTATCCACCCAGAAGCCTGGGGACTGGGCTGCCCTGTCACCGAAGGTTATGAAGACTGGTGTTGGCCCACGCCACAGGAAGAGCAGGATTTTCATGTCAGCAGACGGCTTACCCTGATTTCTCCGTTGTCATCTCCTGTTGCCAGCAGGGTGCTGTCCGCTGAGAAGACTGAGCAGCGCACACAGCCTTTGTGGCCCCTCAATTCATGAAGAGGGGAAAGGCATTCAAAATTCCAAATCTAAAAGGCAATTACAATAGTTTGGAAATAGTAAATACAATAGGAAAAAAAACATCTGCAAACTCTGTTTTGAGGGCTATTTATTTAGCCATAAATTCAATCGCATAGGAGTTGTAAGATTTGGCAGTTCATAGGTTTTAATGATACTGCCCAAGTTTCAACATGAAATCATAATCATTTTTCTGGTTTTCCTTAATTACTCAAGTTAATTTCAGTTCCAGGACCAATGTCATAGCTTCCTTAACTTTATTAATGAAGAAAGAACTTGGAAGAAAGCTATTGGAAGACAGACTAGCAAACACATTAAGAGCAGTACAGGTGGCCAAAGTGTGAGTCTGAGATTTACTACTGACCAATCTCCTGTGACCTAGAATAACCCACCTAAGCTTCTCTAGCTTTAATTTCTGTGTCTGTGAAATGGGGACAATAGGATCTATGGCGAAGAGATTAAATAAAATAGTAGACAAGGAAATTCTGAACACAGGATTTAGCACATGGTAAGTGTTCTTTAAAGATTAGTCATATTATCCTAATATCTTGGTGGCCAGATGCTGTTATTTGCCTTCCAATTATTATTGGCATCCTACTATCACCACCTGGAGTCCTGGAATGGCGCTATTGGTTAATGCACCACACTGCAAAGCTGTTTGAACAGCAAGGTCAATGGTTCAAGTTCACCAGCTGCTCCTCAGAAACTCTATACAGGGTTGCTATGGGTCGGAACCGACTCAATGGCACTTAACAACAACAACATCAACACTCTGCAGCATATCCTAAAATCCACTATGGACCAGTCACTGTGAGGTAGGAACTATTGGTGCAATGATTAGCTAGATACAGTTACCCTTGAAAAGTTTATTATTTTATCAGAAAGATAGACTTATGAACAAGTAAGTGTACTGGTGTACAAAGTAAATGTGCAAACAAACATGAGTAAAATGTAATGGGAACACTGAAGGTAGAGCACTTAGTCCTGCCTGAGAGTAAGGAAGGCTTTACTGACAGCAGAGCTGACATCAGATCCAGGTCTACAAGGATCACTCATAACTCTTCAAGGTTAAAAAGGAGTAATGGGTTTCTTGAAACTAAAGTTAACATCAGGCACAAAAAGATGGAGAATGAAAGTAGCTCAGCACAGAAAGAACAATGTAGCAGAAACAGATGCTAAAGGACTAAAGAGTCCGGGCCAGCAACCTTAAAGTAGCAGAGATATTTCAGTCCTAAAAAGGACTCAGCGAGCAGTACAGAAGACACACTGGAAACCAGTGCAGGGAGGATGTGGGGAGAGCACACCAAAGAAGAGGAGACAAGTCAAGAGACTGTGAGGGGCCATCAACAGAGCATGACAGACAGAACAGAGTCACTGATAACTCCAAGGTTAGTAGTTTGGAAAGATGAGTAGATAGTAATGCTATTAACAGAGATGGAGCAAAAAAAAAGAGAACAAAATATTCAAGAGTTCACCATCTGATTAAATTTTCCAGAGAATATTATCTCAATTACATATCCACAGATTTCTAAATTTCATAATACCAAGCAGCAGCATTTCACCGGAATGTGATTTTCAGAAGTCTCAACATATACCAATTATATAAGCATTTATTGTGAGTGTACAATTAAATGTAGAGCCTTTTCAGTGATTTTTATAGCTTATCTGGTGTGGCGCTGTAGGATAAGCACTGGACCTAAAGGCTGGTTTGAACTGCAAGGTCGGCAGTTCAAACTTACCAGCTGCTCCTTGGAAACCCTATACAGGGTCAGAATGAGTCGGAACCAATTCAATCACACTTAACAACAACAGTTTGAAGTAGAGATTGCATTAGATTAGAAACAGACAAAATGTAATCAGTAAGGAAGAAACCAGAAGTTTTCAATATCATTCATTCAATCTATTTATTCAACACCTACTAACCACAAACGGCGCCCTCTAAAAGTTCACAGAAGAGGAGACAGATCTGTACATGGAAATTACTAGTGTCCTGTTTTCATGCATTCACATTACAATTAGTTGGCCTACCTTTGCAGTCTTGTCAGCAGAGGTAGATGAAAATTTGGTGGCATCAGGAGAAATAGCACATGAAAGTACTGTATCCTGGTGACAAACAAAGTCTTTTTCTATTCTTCCAGTAATAATATTCCATACCTTTTTTAAAAAAAATCAAATTTGGCACTTGTAAGAACATTTTGTACTAGTGAGCATGACCAGCTATAAGACAGAGGTAAAAAAACAAGAGCTTTGGCAAATCAGTTGTTCTGACCTCTTTGCTTTAAGTGCCCTTAAGGATAAAAATAAATGCTCATAAACACACAGCAGATGTAGGTGGCAGCAGTAAACAGAAAACAGGCATGAGAAAATAAAATTTTAAATGTAAGTAGTTACTTAACACCATCTGCTTTTGGTGGTCACAATATAATCACTATGATATTAGAATGCTTTAAAAAAAACAAATCCATATTTCAAATTACCTTCACTGTTCCATCAAATGACCAAGACAGCAATCTTGAATTTTTCAAGGGCCTAAAGTCTTTCACTGTTTCCTGATGGGCTTGCAAAAAGACATAGTCTCCTGATTGCCAATTCCATACCTGCATACCAAAGAAATAAGTCTGTTATAATATATAATGTTGGTATAGGAGTGTATACTCTTGCTCTTCCAAAGACTTTTGTCCTCATGATGTTTCAGTAAAACAAGAAAAACAACTAGGAAGAATATGGAGTCCCTAGTTTATGGCAGAGAAAAGAAAAACTGGGATTAATTAATTTGATTAGAGCAAAACAAAATATTTTTCCTCCTAAATAAGATTTATTTTCTTTAGTTGCTTGGAGAACAGTTAATTATACCAGAGACAGAGGAAAGCCACAATATGCCAGTGAGCTTACCATCTGATTGAATATTCCAGAGAAAATTATTCCAGTGACATATTTACAGGTTTCTGAATCTCACAAGTTGGGCCAGTCTGCGGATCCTGGCTCTACCAAAGCTGGCTCAGTTACCCAGGAAGGTCAACTGACCAGAGCAACTCTACACTTGGTCATGGAATTACTGAGCTTCAGAGTTCTTAGCTATCTGAAGCACAGAGATGAACAGAGCAGGAATTTAAATCTATGCCATGTTGCTGTCAGGCATTTATTTCAATACCATCTCTTAGCTTCTAAATCAAAGTGCCTATATTTAAAGCTCTCATTAATTCTTGACTTCAAATTAATTTAGCAAATGTTTATTTATTACCTACATGTGAGGCACATATAAATCAAGCAAGGATCTAGCATCAAGAAGCCTAAATACCTAGTTTAGGAAATAACACATTAAAATAAATACAATAACCCTACAATATAAGATATAATGATAAAGATAAAAGTTCCGTGAAACTTGAAAAAGCAATTCCCTAGGGAAGAATTGGTAGAAATAGTGCATTCAAAGTAAGTTTGAGGAATTCGTTGTAAGTATGAATCAAAAACTGTTTAGAGCCTGTACTGATTGAAATACCTAAAATGGGGCTACACCGTGCCCAGTGAAGGAGACTTCCTGTGGAGCCTCTGCATTACATAAGACCATAGGTGGAAACCTGAACCCCATCTGAGGTGAGAAATCTCCACTTGAAAGGACAAGCAGACCAGCCTGGAATCGCTAAAAGAACAGAAGATATTTCTTGAAAGAAAGACCAACAAGAAAAATAAAAACAATAAGAGCAGTCTGAATTATTACTACAAGAACAAGCAAATTGCTCGCCCAGGAGATATCAAGGCAAGTTGTCGGGTCCCCTCAGGACAAACCCCCTTCCAAGACTATGACTCAAGGGCAATACGTGAGCAGACATAAGGGGAAGTGAGGTAAAAACAGCAATGAAGCTGTGAGCTAAGTCC